AAAAATCATACAGCATTAACAAAAGAGTCTACAGTCTTCCTAAAGAGTCAGCGTAGCCTGTGTTGTGAAACTAGGGCACCTAGGGTATCAGTCCTTTTCCTTTTCACAACCTTTCCTGCTTTAGACAGTACCTCAACATTAATTTTGGACAGATATGAACCATGGCAACCTTCTCAAAGCACAAAAGAAAAACTCAAGGATTAAAAGGAACAGAGATATATTGCCTAAGATATTGAAACTATCACGATGAGACTAGTGACTGGGTCCTCTTTCCTCTTTTCTTACAGATTTCCTACCTGGTCCCGAAGCCACTGCTCCCGTTCAATTCGCTCCTTCCTCCACCTGGCTTCTGTCTCATCAAGCTGTTCTTCGATCTGATCATCATCAGAGTCTCTGTGGAACAAATCCATCTGGGAAGCATCATCTAAAGCAAAGAGTTAAGGCTATCAGCATTCTGCAGTCCTCACGGGAAAGGGTGCTTGGACAGACAAGAGAATAAACACTTTTCATTACGTTTATATTGATATAAACTTTCCCCATCCACTAAAAGAAAACAGTGAGTATAGCTACGTCCTCCTGATAGCCTGCTATAGGTTGAATTACATTTGCCGTCTTAAACTAAACAAACATGCACACTGTTTGCGTCTAAGGGCATCAACCAAGATACCTATGTTTTTCCATCGGAATTTCCTCATTCGCCCAGGACCATCGCTGTGCAGATCCCCGTCAGCAAGATACCTCTCTTGGTATAAACGTAGCTGTCGTTTATCATCGTCCAACATGGTTTTCCTACAACAGGATAAATAAAGTGTTCGAAACCAGGACCATTCTCACTGGTTAGAGGGCCTGCCTTCAGATGTACTCTATTACTTAGAAGGGCCTGTCGGGATACTGACATGTGTATTTTCTTGATTTGACTCTGCAGTTCCTCATCAGAAGGAAGTACTTCATCAATTACGTCCTCTTCATACTCATCAAGCTCTTCCCCATCGTATTCATCTTCACTTCCCACATCACTTCCCGACACCTCCGCCTCATCCTCCAAGTATTTCTTCAACCTCCTAGAAAGCAATTTTGAAGATTAGAAAATGCAACAATGAACACACAGAGAACACGGAAGCAATGAGAAAAGCAGAACATAGAGCCTCGTCTAATAATATACTTACATTTGTGGTATATTTTGATAATATTTAAAATAAGATTTTTAAATAGAAAGAGTCCCCTGCTTATAATGATTGGACTTCATGATTCTTCAACTTTACAATGGGTGTGAAAGCAATACGCATTCAGTATGGTCCTCGATTCCTGATGGGGTTACATCTGGATAAGTTGAATGTGCGTTTCCTTTTTTTGAGACAGTTTTACTTTGTCACCCTGGGTAGAGTGCCATGGCATCATACCTTACAGCAACCTCAAACTCTTGGGCTCAAGGGATTCTCTTGCCTCAGCCTCCAAAGTAGCTTAGACTGCAGGTGCCTGCCACAATGCCCAGCTATTTTTAGAGACGGGGTCTTGCTCTTGCTCATGCTGGTCTCGAACCTGTGAGCTCAGTCAGGGTAATTCACCTGCCTCAGTCTCCCGGAGTGCTGGGATTACAAACGTGTGCCACTGTGCCTGGCCTTTGTATGTGCATTTTCAATTTAAGGTATTTTCAACTTATGATGGCTTTATTGGGATGCGGTCCTATTGTAAGTTGAGAAGCATCTTTATCCAAAAGTTGATCACTTAGTACATACTGTGTGCCAATAACTGCTTTACAGGCATTACCAAATTAACTCTGAAGTGGAAGCTATTATTCCCTTCATTTTATAGGGAACTGAGGCTCAGAAAGATTAAACACCTTCCACAAGATCACACAGCTAGAAGGTACGAGAGCCTGGACTCAACCTAGGTTGGGTGACTCTAAAGCCTGAAAACTCTTAGTATCCTCAACATACTTGACTCCTAGTAGTCAAAACCTACTTGTTCCTTTTCCTGACTTGACCTCCTAAAAACAAATATGCTGTCACCTTGGGCTCAAAGTCCTGTCATCTATGGTCAAAACGGCAAAAGTCTGGTGGCTTTCTCAAGGCTGATATTTTATCAAAGACTTATGTTGTATTCTTTTTTTAAAGCTAAGTTCCTCTAAATCCTAGGGTTCCTAGAAAATACCTTCAGGGGCTGCTAGTCAATAGGTTTCCCACTCACCCTCTTTCGACAGTTCAACATTTAGCTGCCATTCTTTATAAGATTTCATTTGAACAAAGAGCTCTGTGTTTAAATAAGGTTTAAGAACCACTCCCTTAGAAAAATCTATGAACAACCTAAAGCTGTATGACAGTTAATGTGACAGGTGACAAATTAGAACCAAAAACAGATCTTAATAGAATGGAATGATGGGATAAAAGCAACAATATAAATCTAATAGGGATCAATATGATGTCTATATGTGAATTCCAAATCATTCACAGGCAATATATTACTGAATACCTATTAGAATTGTCTTTATGAAACTTTCTTAACATCACAGGAAAAGGATATTCTAAGTAGTGAAAAAGCAAGATACAAAATAATACATATAAAAGAAATGGTTCAAATCTCAACTATATAAAAATACATGGGCTCGGCACCCATAGCACAGTGGTTACGGCCACCAGCCACATACACTGAGGCTCGAGGGTTCAAACCCAGCCTGGGCCAGCTAAAACAACAATGACAACTACAACAAAAAAACAGCCAGGCATTGTGGCAGGCACCTGTAATTCCAGCTACTCGGGAGGCTGAGGCAAGAGAATCGCGTAAGCCCAAGAGTTGGAGGTTGCTGTGAGCTATGACACTACAGTATTCTACAGAGGGTAACATAGTGAGACTCTGTCTCAAAATAAATAAAATAAAAAATAGAAAAAAACATATGAATAGAAAAAGTTAAGAGAAAATAACCACTATCAACACCTTCACATATACCCTGGATGGCGGACATGGATAACCTTCATTTATATCGTTCTGTATTCTTTTAGATATTCTAAAGTAAATTTTTTTTTTTTTTTTTT